GGGTAACAGGACCGGGGAACCACGACAGTAAACATTAATGACGAGTCTGGGGAAGACGGACACAGACGAGGACTAAATACAAAAGACAAGCCACGGATAACGAGCCACATGTGAGAACAATCAGGGTGAAAGAGGAGGTAATGAGGTGGGCGTGGCACACATTGGGAGCGGACGGAGCGGGGCGTGACACTTATACACAAAGGAAATAATTCTCCAACATGAGATGAGAAAGCCCCTCTTGATGACCATGGATTTGAGGATGGACAAGGAAGATCAAGACAGAGAACTTATTGCATTCTACAAACAAAACACTGTAGAATGGGCAAGCCCTGTGAAGAGCAGACTCCAAGGTGGTATTAAAAAAGTATAAATACATTTATTCAGTGGCATTCCTAGCTGGGTTTTAATGGCCATCTCTCTCTTTTTTTTTTTTTTTTTTTGGGGGGGGGGGTGTGTTGCTGTAAATTGCTGTTATATTCAGGAGATGCTGCCATTGGTGAAGGAGTAACCAGACATTTCTTGTCTACGGTTATACAGAGGCTTCAGCATGGCTTCAGTCTTAACATGGGTAGGTCAGCTATTTTTTATGGAACATTGACTATAGTATTTTGTTTCATCTTTGAATCCAAAATGTAACGTTTAGCCCATTATTTTAAAACAGGAAATACTGCAAGGACCTGTCTCTTTGAAGGTGAACCAGGTCATCTTGTTCCATCATCATCACAATTTCTCGTAGAGAGTGATCTTTTCCTAGTTACAGGACGAATGATCGGACATTCTTTTCTACATGGTGGACCTCGGCTGTCTGGAGTCAGTCAAGCAATAGTGCATGTACTACTAGGTGGTTCACCTGAGACTGCTACAGTGCAAATAGAAGACTGTCCTGGCTATGATATTCGTGAAACCATAAAACCGGTATTTACATTAGTTGCATAATTTAGGTTTAATTTAAACTAGTCATAATTGCATAAAAATTTTTTACTTTCATTTAATATTATTCTTCATGAAGCTTGATGGAGAGGCTGAACTCACTAGCAGTGAATATCAAGCTGTCCTTGACCTGAGTCTTGCTTGGGATCTGCATGGCCCAACCAAAGAAAACCGGAAGTGGCTTTTTGAGCGCCTTTTATCATATGCGGTAGTATTGTTTTTATTTTGTCAAAGCAATTTTTTTCTTTTGTTTAATTAACCTTCAAACTTAAGCATTTTGTACTATAATATTCATTGTATTTATGAAACCTAATAATGTAATATATGTAATACAAAAGGTCATTGGAAGGAGATTACGGCAGTTGAAACAAATACGTAAAGGACTTAAAGAAACCAGAGTGTGGCCACTGGTGACTGAAAGGACAGATGTGGATATTTTTCCGAGGGAATGTGAAAATTCGCTCACCCCATTAGTAAGTTTAAATTGGTTATGGAGTGATGTGCATATAGTACTGTTGCAACAGAAATATATTATTGTTTCCAGATGCTGCTGCCCTGTATCTGCTGGCCCTCTGATAGCAGTGTGAATGATGATGATGACGATGACAATGACGATTGTTCACTAGAAGATAGATGTCGTATCTCAGGGTATTTCCGTCGCTTCATTGAAACCGGTATAAACCTTTACATTTGTTTTATGTAGGTCTGTATGTAATGTAGCTGATACAGTTTGCTCGATTTTATACCGGGTATATGTTTGATGACCTGGATTAGATAATAGAGAGGTGGTACTGTAGGAATGACATCAGAAACTGAAAGACTATTTCACCACTGGTTCCTTCAAGATTTCCCCATGGTTTTATGACAATAGCTATGACGAGTTATGTTTAATATAGATTTTATTTTACTTATAAATTGAAGAAAGTCATAGGAAAATCTATAGGAAAATCTCATGGGAACCAGAGGGTGGTGTTTTGACATCATACTTCCACTACTCTTATTTCTCAAATAGGAAACTTTTTTTTTCTTTGAACTGCCCATGATTCAAATTTATATATATATTTGCTTTATTTAGCATCCAGCTCTGACCTTAAGGCCTTGGTGAAATTTTGGCTGGGGTGGGAAGTGCCAGATGGAAAGATGGTAGTGGAAGTTGTTACTGCTGACATGCCGAAGTCCTCCACTTGCTTCAATATGCTACGATTACCAAGTTATTACATGGATTTCAGCCATTTTAGGGACGAGCTCCTTAAGTCCATTGGCACTTCTGAGTTTGGTTTTGGGCTTGTATAGTTATGTGAAATCTAATACAGACACCATATATACAAATGAAGTTACAGTCCCACAGTTTGTCCTGCATTGTTTGGACTTGTTGTTCAGTAATTTTGATGCAGTTCATCTATGCACACGTTCATGTAGT